ATCATTTTCTTTGACTCATTCGATTCGAAGATCGTTTCTCCTTTGACGATCTTCTAGTTGTCTAAATCTATTTTTTTCATTCTCCCCTATGGTTGCATTCGACCATATTTTTTTTTTCCACATCACTGACTTTTTTATCATTTATCAATTTTTTTTCAAAATTGCTGACTTTTTTATCATGGCAATCCTGATAGAACATTAGGCTTTCTTCAATGTCTTTTTGTATTTTTTTATACTTTATCATCTGCTTGTTTATTTTTTTAAGATCGGTATTTCGGTTTTCGTTTTCCTTTTTTTAAAACTTGACAAGAATTGTTTAATGTATTAATTTCTTTTAGCAATCCATCAATTCGATCATTAGCCAGTTTTAAATTTGCACTTATTAACGCTAAAATATCTTTTTGTTGTTTTAGGAACATTTCTTGAAATATTTCACGAACTAATTTTTTTGAGACTTCAGTGTTAAGTTTTGAACTCATTATTGATAAGATTTCAAAATTAAAAAACAAATAAATAAAACTTGCAATATTAATTTTATTATTTTATTTCTTTCGTAGCAAAAGCACTTCCCTTCACTACAGAACCGCAGTGTTTAAATGATGACACAAGCAAAAATTAGTAATTTTTGTGTTGCTTTTCCGTTTTGGGCTCTTAGAAACCAGTTATTATTATGTATTTTTTTTATAAAACTTGCTTAATTCAAAATTTCTTCAATTCAAAAATGAAATTAAAACTTTAAAAACAATCTTACCTCTAAAGGTTTATAGACACAGTTAATAAATTCGAATCAATTGTATCTATGTAGTTCACATGTCCTTAGCAACCAATTAAAAATCAACAAATGTTTATACAGTTAGAGCTATTGAATACTTTATAAAGTATATGTACGAGTACAAGCAAATTTGCATATTCAAAAAAACGTTTATTTATATAATATGCATTATTTTATTATAAAATAATAAATACTAAAAATTAAACAACACCTTGAATACCAACTAAAATCAAAACTATGCAATTGCAATTTATAATTAGTTAAAAATTGGAACCTATTTGAGTACATTTAGAATGCCAATTAGAAAAGCATTACACTTAGAATAATATGACTCTCAAACTACTTATCAAAGGGTCAAAAGTACATTTTAGTTGCCTAAATCTTCGCTTTCTTTTTGACCGCAAACACTTTTTTGGAAATAGATTTACAAAACTTCTTTAAGTTTTCATTTTGTGCTTCTTTTGCCTCTTTACTCAAAAAGCATAGGAAACTCAAAACTCCCTAAATAATGAAGTGTCAGTAAGAAAGCTAAATAACAATGTGCACAAAATAACATGTAACATCTTACTGACATCAAGTTCAGGAATAAGAGCAAACTTTTCTGCATTCTAAAAAAGTCTTCTACCAGTGCTTCCATTATTTGATGACCCAGAGCCACCAGATATTGGCATATTAACTATTTGAATTTTTTGTTTTCTTCCTTGGATAATTTTCTTTTTAAATGGTGTAGACCACTTTTAATTTGTAGTTTTCAAGAATTTTAAGAGTTTGACCAATGTTATTTTGTAGTTAATTTTAAGGAAACATTCCATGCTTTTATTTCATGCATGAAAAGTTAAAAGGCCATAGCAGAGACCTATTTCTGTCAACAACATATTTTTAACTACTAAAAAAATTTGGTTTTTTATCTCAACTGTTGCCTGATTATAAATCCTTATGCTAGTTGATCAATCAAACCGAACTTTAGAACAAAATGTTAGTCTTTCAAGATCATTCATGAAATTGATAACTTGTTTCTGGTGCTTTAAGCGTATTGTTGTATGATCAACTAACGGTTGAAAGTTTATTTTTTCAGAAAAACTATCAATAGCTCATAATGTTTTTTCAGCACGACATTGTTATTTACTAGCACGAACATTTTTGTATGCAGGATAGAGGTTACAACATTTACTCACAGCATTATTTCTCAAGAGTAAGTAATCAGATTTGCTCATATTATTATCTAATATGAGTGCTAGAGCTTTTATAGAGTATTTTGAGCATGTTCTAAATCAGACGGCTGCTTAACAGATAAACTTTAATCTACTTTCACATTAATTCTTCTGTCATCTTTAAAAAGATTAAAACTATCTGCTTAAAACAGTTCATTTAAAAAACTTTTTTGATGAAGTTTCAAATGATTTCACATGCATACTACTTACTATAGATTTTATTTAACTATCCAAATTTTTTGATAATTTAACAGTCTTTTTCTTAGGTTGGAGTTAGGAATGAGGTTGCAGGAAGTTTTCATCAACTCTTCAACTTAAAGACCAACGTTTACAATACTCTGGGAAAAATGTATATATATGTATATATACATATATATATATATATATATATATATATATATATATGTATATATATATATATATATATATATATATATATATATATATATATATATATATATATATATATATATATATATATATATATATATATATATATATATATATGTATACATATATATATATGTATACATATATATATATACATGTATACATATATATATATGTATACATATATATATATATATATATATATATATATAGTATACATATATATATATATATATATATATATATATATATATATATATATATATATATATATATATATATATATATATATATATATATATATAAATATGTATATATATATATATATATATATATATATATATATATATATATATATATATATATATATATATATATATATATATATATATATATATATATATATATATATATATATATATATATATATATGTACTTGTTATTTAAAAACATTAAAAAAAAATTAAAGAAAAACCATCTTTCATTTTACAATTAAGTGCTAGTATCTGCTACTTTTTTTAAATCAAGTATTAAAAAAAGTAGCAGATACTAGCAGCATGATAAATAATTTTATGAAAGCTTATATGTAGAGCCTTCAAAAAACGTATAAAAAATAAGGGCAAAATACAGCATAAATTTTTCCTTGTTGTGCTTTCAAAACATGAAAGGTAAGAATAGGACATTGGCTACCAAAACTTGTATTCAAAACTAGTTTAAAGATTTTTTTGAATTTTTTTTTTACATAAATTTTATAAAATAACAATTACTTGATCAGTTAATAAAAATATATAAAAATCATACCAAAAATTTATTCTACACTTTTGCTTTGTAAAAAACTACTTTTTTTCACTTTATCGCTATTTTTTTTGTGGAAAAACTTTACTTAATATGATTTTTTCCCGCGAATATATCCTTTTAATATCTAATTCAAATACTTTTGAGGTCCCAAATATATTTAATTCAAAATTTTATTTTTTAAAATTTAAGCTTTAAAACATTGATTTTTATAGTTTGTCCACCTATTGACCAACTGTGCAATGTTGAGAAAACTTTTTAACAAAAATGGCCTGCATTTCCGAAATAAATAAGATCTTAGATTTTAATAAGACTAAGGAATTACAAAGTTGGTTATAAAAAACTTTTGAAATATTTATGGTGAACTTCTTAAAAACAGTTTTAAAATAATTTTGGAGACAGTCCACATTTTGTCTAATTCATAAGAACTGTAAAACTATGTTGTTCATGTTTTGATGTCATATATCTAATTATTTGAAAAAAATTATGTCCAAAATTTATATATAACTTTTAACAAAAATTTAAATAATATAAATTATTGCCACTTTGTTGGGTTTCCAGATGATAACGTAAAAATATTATTTGGAGAACAAAATTTAAAACTATCTGCATGATAATGTCAGTTTTACATTATCCATTGACGATTCCACAGTGTGAAAAAAAATATTTTTTTAATAAGCAGTGTTCATAAAAAATTCAAAATAAAAGATATTCCAATATGTTTGCGAATACTGCGCTGATCAACGAGCTCCCTTAAAAATCCAAGATTAAGATTGTATTACAAAAAGATAGGTAAAACAGAAGTTTTTTAGTTGCATTTTATGTATACTATTTATATTTTTTATACTTTTTATTAGTATATTATTTAATGCAAAATTATTGTCTGATAATAATGCATATTTTAGATGCATAAAAGTTTAAATAAAAATTAGTTGCATTTTGGTTTGTCTTATGTTTCATTTAAAACTAATTATATGACATAATAGAATACTATAAAATATTATTATTTGTATATTTTTATTAGAAAAAAAAATTTATCTTTTGGGTTTTTCTGTATGTAATCATAAAGTCGAACAAAAGTAATTTTGAGTAACTTTGTTGTAAAAGTGACTTTTATATTACACTAAGTTTAGCTTGATAGTTTGATTAAAGTTAGTGACGGAAAAACAAGGAAACTTCGTTTTCACGAATACCTGAAAGTTAAAACAATTATTAAAAACCGTTAATTACCAGAAATTCGAAAAAAAAATAGAGTAAACATAATTATCATTTTATTTTTCATAAAAAATTGGTAAACTTTTGAGGAAAATTCATTGTCAGTTTTTTTATACTATTGCATTGGCAATTTTTTTCATACATCATTTTTAATAAACAAACATTCACTTTGTATATTTTCTAATAACTTAAAAAAGAAAAGAAAAAGAAAAGTATTGAAATTCTTACATATTTCTACTTGCATATAGCTTTTTTAGAAATATTTAAATGTTATTTTTATAACATTTTTGTTTTAATTTAAAGGAAGTTACGCTCTATTTGTATTTTTCCTATTGAAGTTTTTATTATAAGGGGTTTGAAAACGGACCATAATGTTTTCTTCTCGCGTTAGCCTTATATATTTACATTTTTATTACTTAACTTTAGTAACTTTTTTTTATTTAATGGTAAAATACAAAATCATTATTAAAAAAAAAAAATTAAGAAAAAAAGAACGTTATTAGCTGTTTTAAACTAAAACAAATAGTTTGAGTTAAAAAATGAAAAAAAAAAAGAAGTAAAAGATTGATTACTTTGTTTGACAATCAAACTAAAAAACGATAATTTCATAAACTTACCGAGGCTAGCAGTTGTTGACGAGACTAAAGTTAAAAAAAAAACATAAAATTAAGACACCAAAACAGAAAATTTCAAACTCTCAATTAATATATTTAACTCTGGAAATAACATAAATCAAAAACATACTAATGGCCGGAGATGAAGATAAACCTAAATATAGTGAAACAATATTCGTAATGTTTAAAATTGGCAACTAAATATTCCTAAAATATAAGTTTTATATTTAAACAATCAAAAACAGTAGTATACGGGACTAAAGTAACGTGATGAAGCGAGCAATAAACAAACTTAAAAATAGTAATTTAATGGATAATAAACAACTTTTCGTTAATAATGGCAAAAATAAAAACATTCAAATTACCCATCTCAAAATTTAAAAGAAAAAGAAAATTTGTCATTAAGAAACTTTTAAATGATTGACATACTCAAACTAAAACAATATTAATTAAATTATTTTAACAAACTATAGGATTTAAAGTTAAAATTAGGTATGTCAGGGTTAATCTATTAAAAAATTTTAATCTATTAAAAAATTGCAAAAAAAAATACGTAAGTCATATTGTTAACTATTCGATTTTATAGATAAGGTAAAAATTTTGAAATCTTTTTTAAACTAAAATTACTTTTGATGGATTTCTTTAAAGTATTGTTTACAAGTTTTATACTATTGTGCTCTGAAAAAAATCTTTTTTAGTTAAAAAAATAAATAAATAAACCGTAGTAAAATCTAATAAATAAGTATTTAGATAAAAATTTCATTCTCGTTGACGACATTGACTTTGATATTTTATTTAACAGTTATTTGAAAGTCAAACAGTCTATCTTTTGGTTCTTAATATTTATTTCAAAAAAAACAACTTATTGTTGTTTTAAAACATTATATTTAAGAATAACCAATAAAATTTAAAAGTTTTAGTTTTTGTTAAATAGGTTAAAGAATAACTTTAAGATGACTTTTTTACAAAAAAAATTGTTGTGAGGAAGAACTAATGTGTAATTAAATACTCCAAAAAAGGTTGGAGTATTTAATTACACATTAGTTCACCAACCACGTTATTTTAATGCTAGTGTAAATAAGTATATTCATCTGCTATACAAATTGAATTTATCTTACATTACAGTATATATATAATGAAGTGTAACTATGCATTGACTTTACAAAAAAAAAAAAAAAAATACATTAATGTAAAAGAAACCAAGAACCCACCATCTGGTATTTTGAAAATTTAAATACTATTCTCTAAATCTATATAAAACTTGTCTAAAAATAGCATATATTATCATCGCGCTCTTAGGTAAAATGAAAAAAAAGTAATATAAGTTTTCAATGGCTAATATTATACAAAAGAGTGAAAGTAAAAACATGTATAAAAAATTACGATAAATATTAAAATAAAAAAAGCTCAGAAAAGTTTTATTCTTTAAAGGCGTTTAAAATTTTTTTGTTTAATTTCTTTAAAATTTATTATAATAATACAATGATTTTTTATTATTAAAATAAATTTTAAATAGTAAAAAACTTACATGATTTAATTTTAAATTTATTTTTAACTTAAATTAAAAGAATCGATTTTAAATGGGCTTTTAGTGTTTTATTATTGATCTATTTCAAAATATTGAAGACAAATTAATATTTTTGTGTAATTAAAACCGCTTTAATGATATTTTAAAACTGATTAAATTTAATTAATTATCTCAATATTACATTTTTGTATGCACCTACTAAAACAAAATATCTTTTAAATAATAAGATTGTTCAATAAGTGCAGCAAAAGTAATTTTGAATACCTTAGTTATAAATGTTATTTTTTTATTATGCTTATTTTAGCTTGATAGTTTGCGTAAAGGAAGTGACAGAAAAAAGAAGCGCATTGGTAACTTTTTAGTATTATGTGCTCAACGTATTTAAGTTTGAATTATACATTTTTAAACCACAATGACATTATTATCAACATTTTCATACTATATCGTTAGAAATTTTTTTTGCAAATCATTTTCAGTAACTAAACAAACATTTAGTATATTTTTTAAAACGATTAAAAAAATTTAAAAAAACTAGTATTGAAACGCTTTTATACTTCTATTTGCATATACCTTTTTTAGAAATATTTAAATGTTATTTGGCATAGCATTTGTGATTTAGTTGATCGAATTTACGTTTTATTAATATTTTTTATATTGAAATTTTGATTTTAAGGGGGTTGGAAAGAAGACGAGTTTTGTCTTCTTCATGTTCATGCCATATATTTCTTAACATTTGTTGCTTAACTTTTTTGTTTTTTTAACTTAATAATAAAATACAAACTTATTATTTAAAAGGAAAAAATGAAAAACTATAATAGCGGTTTGTAACTAAAACAAGTGGTTTAAGTAAAAAGTTAAGAAAGAAGTAAAAGAAAGACCGCTTCATTTTACAACCAAATCAAAAAAAAGTTTTATAAACTTACTCGGGCTAGCAGTTGTTGACGAGACTAAAAATAAAAAAAAATAATGAGTTAAAGCCACAAAATAAAAAAATATACAATCGTAGGTACTGCATTACAGTTTGGAAATAATATTAACAGAAAACTTACTAGTGGCAGAAGACGAAGATAAACTTAAATAGAGTAAAACAAAAATCATAATAAGAAAAAAACAAACAAACAAAAAAGCAATTCAAAATATGCAACTTAATATTCTTTAAAAATATATTTTATATTTGAACGATCCTAAGCAGAAGTATACAGGAATAAAATAACACGATGAAGCAAGCAATAAACAAATTGAAAATATATTATTTTGTGGATAATGTGGATAATGTGGATAATGTGGATAATTTTGTGGATAATGGATAATGTGGATAATGTGGATAATTTTGTGGATTTTGTGGATAATGTGGATAATGTGGATAATTTTGTGAACCCTGAGCATCCTTTAGTAAATAATAACACATGAAACAATCAATTTACAAATTTGAAAATTTAGAAGAAAAAGAGAATAGGTTATAAAGAAACACAAATGATTAATAGAGTCAAATGTAAACAATGATAATCAAAGTAACTTAACAAACTTTAGCAATTAGATAAATAAAAATTGGATGTCCGCATCACTTTGTTTAAAAAGATGCAGAAAAACTACGTATATGACAATATAATTATTTGATTACGTAGATAAGGTAAAAGTTTTACAAACTTTTTTAAAAATAAAACATGAAAGAATCTATTTTATTGATGACGTTTCCTACAATGAAAGAAAAAAAAATCAGAGAGAGATTTCTTAATAAAAAAATATGAAATAACTTAAAAGTTAACTTTTAAGTATTGTTTACTAACTATTATGCTTCTTTGACTTTAAAAATAAGATTCTTTTTCAATTGAAAAAAGTAAATAAAACGTTAAAAAACAACTGAATAAATTTTTTGACGAATTGGTCATACTTAGTGACGAAAATGACTTTGATATTTTTATTCAAGCATTATTTAAAAGCAAAGCAGTTATTTTTTAAAAGTCTTGTCAATTTTTAAAAATAAAAAAGACTGACATTATTTTTTATTTTGAAGCATGACTTTGAGTATTTTTTTTACCATAACTTGTTGTAAGTTAGGAAAAAATAAAGACGCAGTTGGAATATTTAATTAAACAATAGTTCATTAACCACGCTATTTTGATGCAAGAGTAAGAAAATATATTCATCTGCTACTCAAATAAATATATCTTACAAAACAGTCAATGTATAACTAAAAGTCATTATGCATTGACTTAACAAAATAACAAGTCTTAACAAAAATGACAAACTTCAAAAAAGATATCTATTTATCTATTTATATACATAACAAGACTTGACAAAATAAAAAACAAAAAAACAAAATATAATTATGTAAAAGAAACTATGGAACCACTATATGGTAGTTTGAAAACTTTAATATTGTTCTATAATTTTATAAAAAAACTGATCTAAAATCTACGCAATTTATATTTGCTGTCCTTTTGTAAAATAAAAAAAAAATCGTAAATAAATATGCAAAATCTAATATTATACAAAAGTTTGTAGCATAAAATTTAAATTGAAAAAGATAATGAGAATAATAAAAAAGCTTAAGCTCATAAAGTTTTCATACTTTAAATTCGTAATACAATGTTTTTGTATTATTAAAAAAGATTTAAATTGTAGAAAACTTACATGACTTAATCATTTTTATAAACTTTTTTAAAACAGTTAAAAAATACTAACAAACAAACAATAATGGCAATATAAGCGTTTTATAAAATATTGTTTTAAATAGTCACTGAAAAAGATTAAAAACTGATGGAAATTTAAATATTTTATTATTTTATTCATATTTTATATGTATTGTATGTATACTTTATTTAATGCACAATAGTATCTAATAATAATGAATATTTTAGATGCACAAAAACAACAAACTATACATCAGAATGATGTTTATATTGCTTATCATAAGGAGATGGTTTCCATTAGAGTATAGTAATCTGCATTTCTGAATTATTTGTCTTATTTTATTAGTTTAGAATATCTATCTACTTAAAACTGTTGTGTTAACAGATTCTGAGCAAGAAAGAGGAAGTAAGAATAATATTTTCTCTTAAGCACAGCCTAATAAAAAAATTTATAAGGAAATAGTATGTCAGTGCAACTGAAAAATATTGTTTTATGTTTTTAATTTTCTAAAGCTAGATAAAAATTTTTTTTTTGTCAATTTTCATCCAGTATGATATACTAATAAATCTCGGCAAACTTGACTATATTCCAGGCGGGGTTGTGCACTGGCGCCTGGTTGTACTCAATAAGCGTTTGGTAACATAAATAATAGATTTCCAAAAATATTTATGCAACTGACAGTAAATGAAAAAAAAACAAACATTAAATTTGTCAAGATAGGTTTTGAAAACTGTTAATTAAGTAGTTGCATTCTGTATTATCTCAAATTTTATTGGTATAAACTATTTGACATAATACAATATTATAATATATTATTATTAGTAAATTTTTATTACAAAAAAAATTTTTTTTGAGTTGTTCTAACATGTTTTATTATTTTTTTAAATGAAAAATATATGTAATCATAAAACTTAACAAGAATATTTTCGAGTAGCTAAGTTGTATATTTTATATTTTTATTTCGCTAAAAATTTGATTAAATTTTGAGACGTGAAAAAGAAAAGCATGTTTTCATGAATATTAAAAAGTTATAACAATGATTTTATTATTTATCAGATATTCGAATAAAATAGAGTAAACAATATATATATATATATATACATATATATATATATATATATATATATATATATATATATATATATATATATATATATATATATATATATATATATATATATATATATATATATATATATATATATATATATATATATATATGTATATGTATATATATATATATGTATATATATATATATATATATATATATATATATATATATATATATATATATATATATATATATGTATATATATATATATATATATATATATATATATATATATATATATATATATATATATATATATATATATATATGTATATATATATATATATATATATATATATATATATATATATATATATATATATATATATATATATATATATATATATATATATATATATATATATATATATTTTCGCTAATTCCAGCCTAAAAATTTAATCAAATTTTAGGCTGGAATTAGCGAAATAAAAAAGTATATTAGCAATTTTTTTTATATATCATTTTTAGTAATTAAACAAACCTTTACTTTTTAAAAAGTAAAAAAAAAAAAACTAAAATTAAAAAAAGTAGTTTTAAAACTCTTTTATATTTCTACCGGCATATACTTTTTAAGAAAACTTTAAAATGTTAATATATATATTTGAGTTTTAATTAATTGAAGTTAAATTGTATTTATACTTTTCTTATTGAAATTTTCCTTCTAAGGGTGAAAAACAAAATCATTGTTAAAAACAAAAATAAAAGAAAAAAAAAATTATTTGCGGTTTTAATCAAAAACATGTGGTTTGAGTGAAAGAATAAAGAAAAAAAAAAAAAAAAAAAAAAAAGAATGATCGTTTCATTTTACAACCATTTTAAAAAGTAATAATTTCATAAACTTACTGGGGCTAGCAGTTGTTGACCAATCTAAAAATAAAAAAAAATAAAAAAAATTAAAGAAACAAAATAAAAAACTTCACACTCGCTGTTGTTGCATTACAGTTTGAAAATAATATTAACTAAAAACTTACTAGTAGCAGGAGATAAATCGAAAGATAATTCGAAATATAGTTAAACATAAGTCATAATGAGAAAAATAAATAAATCAAAATTGACAACTAAATATTCTTAAAAAATGAATTTTGTATTTAATCGATTAACAGCAGATGTATACGGCGATAAAGTATTCTGATAAAGCAAGCAATAAACAAATTAAATATATAATTAATTAGTGGATAACAAACAACCTTTCGTAAATAATGGCACTTAAAAATATTGAATTTATCAACTATAAAGTTTAGAAGAAAAAGAAAATCGGTCATAAATAAACACTCTAATAATTTATAGGCTCAAATTTAAACAATAGTAATTAAAGTAATTTAACAAACTTTACAGTTAAATATGTTAAAGTCCGACGTGCAAACTACATTGAATAAAAAGATGCAAAAAACTACTTAAATCATAATATAACTCTTTAGTTTCGTAGGTAGGGTTAAAATTTTAGAAATATTTTATAAGTAAAAATTGCACTTTCTTTATTTAAGTTATTAAGGCCCATTGCAACTTAATTTTATCTGCCTTTGAAGATAAAATTAAGTATGACGTTATACATTTTTTTTTTAATTAAATCTCTTTTTAATCAAAAATAGATTAAAGAATTATAATGCAAGTCTTCTAATTTCCTCTCAAAAATTATACAAAAATAGTTTTTTTTTTTAATTTGCATTCACTCCCAACTAGGCTGCAAGCAACCACTATTAAGTTAAGAGTTACTAGGAAAAAAATGAACAGAGTTATAGAGCAAGGAAACGGTTGACAGAAGACTTTAAAAGTTGAAGGTTGTATGGGTCAGGAAAACATGAAGATGAGAAAGAGTTCCGAAGGATTGAAGTGCGGGGAAAAAAAATAGATGAATAAAAGTTTTTAGAGCATGCAGGGACAGATACAGTAAACGAATGAAACTTAGCTGAATGACGAGTAAAACAAGAATCAATTTTAGTTAATGGAACTAGAGATGATAACTCCATTGAGCATTGACCATGATAGTATTTGTAGAAAAGAGAAAGAGATGCAACTTGACGACGATGGGAAATAGGCTCAAGGTTAGCAGATGCGTTTTTGGACCTTGTCAAGAAGAGAAAGTGAATCGTTAGAAGAACCAGCCAAAATATTTTTTTTTTTTTTTTTTTTTTTTTTTTGCATTCACTCCTTACAAGGCTGCAAGCAACCACTATCAAGTTGGGAGTTACTAGGAAAAAAAAGAACAGAGTTATAGAGCAAGGAAACGGTTGACAGAAGACTTTAAAAGTTGAAGGTTGTATGAGTCAGGAAAACATGGAGATGGGAGAGAGTTTCAAAGGATTGAAAAAAAAAATAGATGAATAAAAGTTTTTAGAGCATGCAGGGACAGATACAGTAAACGAATGAGACTTAGCTGAATGACGAGTAAATCGAGAATGAATTTTAGTTGATGGAACTAGAGATGATAACTCCTTTGAGCAGTGACCATGATAGTATCTGTAGAAAAGAGAAAGAGATGCAACTTTACGACGATGGGAAAGAGGTTCAAGCTTAACAGATAGTCCAGGTCCAACAACATTTACAATGCGTTTTTGGACCTTGTCAAGAAGAGAAAGTGAATCGTTAGAAGAACCAGCCCAAATATGACAAAAGTATTCCATACAGGGACGAATAAGAGATTTGTAGAGGCAGAGAATGGAATCAGAAGTAAGAAAATGGCGAGAACGATAAAGAGAAGCAACCTTAGCAGAAGCTAATTTAGCAATCGATTGTATATATGGTTTCCATGAAAGATCAGTAGTAAGCGATAATCCAAGAAGTCGTAAAGAGGACGACTCAGTAAGAGGATTGCCATTCATTAATATAGGAATGTTGACCATATTACGGTAGTTGTTTGCAGTAAGCAATTGGGTTTTTTTAGAGTTGAAATTCACAAGCCACTGTGAACCCCAATCTATTACTGAAGTGAGATCAGATTCAAGATTAGCTGCTTGTTCTAGGCGATCGAAAAGAGAAGAATTTTTGTCAAGGCAGGAGTATAAAGCTGAGTCATCAGCAAAAAGAGCTACTTTAGATGAAAGGTTACCAGGAAGATCGTTTATGTAGATAAGAAACAAAACAGGGCCCAGGATGGAACCTTGGGGAACCCCAGAATTTACTGGAAATAAAGAAGAGTGTTGCCTTCAAGGATAACTTTAATAAACCGGTTAGAAAGAAATGATTAGATAATCTCAAAAACTTTCCCAGAAACACCATATGAAGCAAGCTTATGGAGAAGACCAGCATGCCAAACTTTGTCGAAAGCTTTAGATATGTCGAGAGCAAAAGCCCTAGCCTCACCGCCTCCATCTAATGCACAATAAAATCTTTCAGTTACAGCAGTTAGCAAGTCGGCCGTAGAGCAAGAGGATCGAAAACCGTATTGATTGCCTGACAGTAGTTTATTTGACTCAAGATGAGATGTGAGGAATTTGTTGATCAAAGAATCGAAGACCTTGCTAATAACAGAAAGAAGACTGATCGGACGATAATTGGAAGGGTCAAAATTTTCTCCAGAGTTTTTGAATATTGGAACCACAGATGCCATTTTCCAACAAGCAGGAAAGCAAGACTCAGTCAAACACTTGTTAAATAGTTAAGAGAGAATTGAAGAAAGTTCTGGAAAACAATTCTGCAAGACTGTGACAGGAATGTTGTCTGGACCACAAGCTGTAGACGAGTTTAATTGAGATATGACTTTAGCAACAGAAGCCGGAGTGATTTGAATGTCTAACAATGGGTCAACCTGTTTGACTGGAATGGAAGGAAGAGAATGTCCATAAGATTCAAGAGTGGAATTAGAAGAAAAGTTCTTTGCAAACAGTTCTGCCTTATCTCTGGGAGAGGTAACAAGATCAGTCCCATGAATGAGAGATGGAATGTTAGATCTACCCTTGTTAACAATGCTGTTGAAGATTTTCAAAAAGTCTTTAGAGCCTAACTTCTGCGATAAGATGCGAGATTTAGTGAACTGAGAATAATGGAGTTTAGCATCAGAAAGCACCTTTTTACATCAATTTCTTGCAATAATAAATAGCCGTTTGTTCTCAAGAGAGTTGTTCTTTTGAAAAAATGAAAAAAATGGTTACGATTGGATATAGCAGCCGCACAAGAAGGAGAAAACCATGGAGTAGAATGAGGCTTGACTTGAAACCGACGCGAAGGAATAAAAGCTTCCATTCCAGCCTGAATCTAGGAGGTTACGTAGGAGGCGCATTTGTCAGCTGAGAGAGAAAAAACATCAGCCCAAGGACCATCACGAAGAAAATCACGAAAGGAATCCCAGTCAGCTTTTGGGTAGTAGTAGGTGCCGCGATGATAAGGTGAGCCCAAAAAAGAAGTACGAGAAGAAAGATTTATAGAGATCATTGCATGGTCAGAACCACCTAAGGGAGAAAAGAGAGAAACTGAACATAAGCTAGGGTCAGAGACAAGACATAGGTCAAGGAGTTAAGGTAAATGATTAGGGTTGTCAGGAAAACGAGTCACAAAGTTAACTATCTGAGTAAGAGATTGAGAAATGCAGAAGTTAAAGGCTTTAGTGCCAGCAGGATCAGTGGTGTTAGAGCCAAGCCATTCAGTGTGATGGGCATTAAAATCACTAACAACAACAATATTGGCAGAGGGGTAAAGAGAAAGGGCATTGTCAATTTGATCAGAGATAACATCTAAGAGAGTGCAATCATGGGAAGAAGGAGAACGATAAAGAACAAAGAGAAAGGTGATAGAGTGAAGAGGTGCTAGGCGAAAGCTCATAAAAGAATGGTCAAAGGACTCGAACCTGATTTCACGACAAATAGGGGAATTAATGCGTATGTATACCCCTAAACCTAGCATGTGAATATTGGAGTCTTTACGAATCAAAGGATAGTACCCATCAACACTGACATCTGAAGAAGGAATTCCAGAATTTAGATTTGTTTCACTGAGTGCAAGCAAATCTGGTGAATTTTGCAGGAGGTAAGACTCAACTGATGGAAAGTTGCTTCGTAGACCGCAAATATATGTAAAAGATATATTAAAATATTTAGGTGGTGGGAATGGTTTTTTAGGTTTTAAATTTTTGGTTACTTTGGTCATGATTTGGGTTTAATGAGAACTTGACTCATTCATAGATAGAGCACAGCCTCCTAATCAATGAGCTATGCAGTTGTCTTTGTCCTGTTAATTAACCCTAAGCCGTGACATAGGGCTCCTTATGTGGCCTTGACAATGCACACCAAAAGCATTAACAGGGGCACCATCCATCCGCAACATGGCACTGTTAATACTCTGATATTTTGCAGCTGTTGATGGAATCAGCCTCTCTGAGAGCTACCACAGAGTTCGGGAAACCTTACTACCAGCCGGCTTCAGAACCATTAAACTGAGTTTTAGAGCTGTACCCTCATATGGAGATAACAGGAATAGTTGCATAGCCATTATCAAGGAGGCATAAGCAAAATTCTATGAGTAGAGTCAAGGAGATCCAGCATTCATCATCCTAGGCAGGAAACAATGTAGCACAGGTTACATCTACGCCAGCCTAATAGATGAAGAAGGGGTTCGAGGCTGATTAGCAGAATTTTTCTACTTACCCCTAAAGTCTTTGCCTAGGAGGCCTTCTACAAGACAGTAGCTGGATGCAGTTAACATCTGCCCAAGATGAGTGTTTTTATCGAGACACCATCTCTAGCCTTTACTCAACCAAGAGCCCCAAAGCAGGGGAATTTTTAGTCGGAGTTTATTTCTCCTAGCCTTTGCCTAAGAAGAGCACACTCTGCATGGCAGCAAGGCTTGTGGCAGGTGGTACTGGGTTACGTGATACCAGTAGCAAGATTGGTCTCAATTATCCTGACCTGACCTGGAGTAGTTAAAAGGAGTTACTT